ACAAGGAGTGGAGGAGAAGGTCGAAGTCTACTCCAACCACCGCAACCTAGGGTACTTCCACACCGCGCAACGACTGAATCGGTGCCAAGTGCAGTGGTCACTCTTCCTCTCCCAATTCCACTTCACCCTCATCCACCGCCCAGGGAAACTCATGGGGAAACCCGACGCGCTCTTGCGCCGTGCTGACCACCCGAAAGGCAAGGATGACAACGACGGGTTGACTCTCCTCCAACCCACCTGGTTCGAGGCCCGCGCAGCGGAGGCGGTCATGGTAGAAGGCGAAGGGGTGACCATCCTCGAGAGGATCAGCAGGGCAAAGGACCTGGATGAGAAGGTAGTAAAGGCGATGCAGGAACTGGGAGAGGGCACGCTGAGGTCAGATGAGTGGGAGAAACAAGGAGAGCTGGTTCTGTACAGAGGAAAAGTATATGTCCCGAAAGACCTGCAACTCCGCCATGACCTGGTGTGCCTGTACCATGACGTGTGCACGACGGGGCATCCAGGGTGGTGGAAGACCCTGGAACTCGTCTCCCGCGACTACTGGTGGCCACGGATGGCGGAGTATGTTGGGCGGTACGTACACAGATGCGACACCTGCAACCGTGTCAAATCCTTCCCCTCCCGTAAAGTGGGAAAGCTCATCCCGAACAAGATCCCCGTCCGCTGCTGGCAAGTGATCTCAGTAGACATGATTGGAGAACTCCCTGAGTCCAAGGGCTACAATGCCATCCTGGTCGTAGTAGACCACCTATCCAAACGCATCCACGCAATTCCAACGGTGACGACAGTGGACTCAGCAGGGATCGTGCGGCTCTTCCTCAAACACATCTGGAAGCACCACGGTCTCCCTGAAGAGATCCTCAGCGACAGAGGGAGCGCATTTGTCTCGCGATTCTCGAAAGAACTCGCGGACCTCCTCGGCGTCAAGCTCACCCCCTCAACGCCCTACCACCCCCAGACAGATGGGCAGACGGAGAGAGTAAACCAAGAGGTAGAGGCTTACCTCCGGGTATTTGTCAACCATCGCCAAGACGACTGGGCGGACTGGCTCCCACTAGCGGAGTTCACCTATAACAACCACGTCCACTCCTCCACCTGCCGAACCCCTTTCGAGCTCGACACTGGCCAACACCCTAGGATGGGGACAGAGCCCACATGCACATCTGAAGTAGAAGCCGCTGATGCCTTCTCATCGAGGATGATGAAGATGCAAGAAGAGGCGAAGGCAGCGCTAGAGCACGCGGCAGACGAGATGGCCCGCTACTACGACTGGAACCGCGAGGTGGCCCCTACGTACCAAGAAGGCGACCAGGTCTGGCTCAGCACCCAAAATTACATGACAGACCACCCAACCAAGAAGCTGGACCATAAATGGACTGGCCCCTTCACAATTATTAAAGTCGTCTCCCCCGCCACTGTCAAACTCCGGCTCACTGCCTGACAAAGAGGGATTCACCCAGTCGTATCTGTAACAAACATCAGACCACACTGCCCTGATGAGATTGCGGAACGCCCCGCCAGCCCCCGCCCAGGCCCAGACCTCGTGGATGGAGAAGAGGAGTACGAAGTAGAGAAAATCCTGGACTCTAAGTGGCTACACCGAAAACTCCGGTACCTGGTAAAGTATACAGGCTGGCCACACTCAGAAAACCAATGGCTCACACGCGACCACCTAACCCATGCCTCAGACCTAGTCGAGGAATTCCACCGGACACACCCACATGCCCCAGGGAGAGAAAGAGAGAACCGCCCAGCCGCTTCGAGGCAAAGCAGCTTAAGAGGGGGGTGATGTCAGGGCACACCCCACCTGACCCTGCGCCGTGCCGCCCCACTCCGCTTCCCTGCTATCACTCTTTGTTTCTTCTTTCCCCTTTCCTTCTTTCTTTCTATTTCCATTCCATGGTCGACTTCCCCTTCTCTATGTATTACTAACACACCTAACCCCACTCCCCCGATCGCCGTGCCCACCGCACACATTCCCGCTCACAGAGCGGCACACCTCCGGGATCTCCCACAGAGATACCCAGGGGAGTGCGGCTGTGTGCGGGGATGATGTGGCTCCTCCCATGTGACCCCGACCACATGTATATAATAGCACCTGGGGTGGGAACAGAAGAAGCAGCCTTCTTCTCAACTTCCCACTTCAGACTAAGTGGTTGGGGATGCTCACCCTGCAACGGGACCATCGCTACGCATAGCCGACACCTGTCCCATCGAGTCCCTCGCGCCGGGACCTCGCCACTTTTGGAGCTGTCCCTGACACACAACTGTTTAACGGCTCAGTGATTGTTGCCCAAAGTGTTGTAGGAGAAATAACGGTCACACTATGGAAACCCATTATGGAAATATGCCAGATAAATCACAAAACCCCATATGACAAGTAGATATGAGAAAATAGAAGGACCTGAATTTTAATGAAATTTTACGAATTATTACGACTACACATGATAAATTGGAAGAAAGAAAATTAGCAAAAATACTTCAAGCTTAGCATCAACAAGAAGGAATTCTTGGGGAAATTTATAACAAATATTAAACAAAAGAATTAGGACAATCGACCAAGATTTGACTATAAAAACAACCAGAGAACCTCCATGGAAACTACTTTCCCACATCTGCACACATAGCCAAGGATGGAAGTACCATGGAACAAGGATTCCTTAGGAACTAATGCAAAATTCAAAGTCGTGTTTATAATAGAAAATGTAGATGTCTTTCAAACAGACCCAATGAAAGTAATTACAAAACTACCCATAAACAATGGAGATATGACTAAAACTCTCGGAAAACGAGGACAATGTTTAAAAGGCAAGCGTGAAGAACAAGCAGTAACAACCGAGACGCGCTTGATAACTCATTAGAAAGGAAGGGATCTAATCTTAATCCACCCAAATTTTCATAATAAAAGGATCACGCATCAATGAGATATCCAATAACGGGAAGAGCGATATCAAAAGCCTGGGCTCAGGGAAAAGACAACGTTTACGTGGGATCCATATTTAAAACACACTACGAAGTTTACACGGAAATTATGATAAATAGGAAACTACAGTTATGCAAAGTTTCAGCCTAAATGGTCCAGCCGTTGTGAAGTTACACCAATGATGGGAATATAGGAATCCACATCATGCTTAAAGACACGTGAGGGTGGTGATGCAAATGGAACCCACCGTCGGAACCGAGAACCACACTTTGGCAGATTGCAAAGACCAATTTCTGTCCAAATAAGGAAGACCCCAGTCAAAACAAAGCATGGAAAGTACAAAACAACCTTAGATCATGAGGGAAAAATCTGAAATAAATCACAGAAGCCCATATTGAGGATACAAACACCTGTGCATACCATAAAGCCTGAACAATTAAACAGAAACAGCGCCCACATATGAACGACTATGGGAATGATGCACATGATTACTGAATGTGCGCGTGAACTTTTGCTAACTCAACGAATACCAGGAAATAGAACATAACTTTAGTACCATTGGAAAGGTGGGAATAAATGAAAATTTATGATACCAAGAACTTGAAAAATCATCCAGAAATGAATGATATACAAGGACATGAAGTTAGAAACCTGAAAATGTGTGGGAAGACAGCTTCAAGAGGTCCAGAGCCCTAAATAAAATACATAAAAATATGATATCTTCGAGGACGACCTACTATAACAACGAACAATACATATGGAGGACTAGGATGTGATAATACAAAGGGGAATCAGGGGAGATGGACGAAATCCACAAAAACCACTAAACTATGATGGACCATGGCGGGAATTTTAGGGAACGATATTCTAATGAAGTGGAGAGCTATAATACAGTCGTTTGAGTAATTCTTGACTACTAGCAACTTTTTCTTTCGGTTCTAAACCTGAATAATTCACTCATTTACCATTTCAAGTCTCATTTTAACTAAATGTCACTGGATAAAAATGGAATAAATCAGCTGAAGGTCTCAGCACAGCCGTACGCATAGTAAGGCGAAGTTTGAATTCAGAATCACCGAGTCATAGCGAACTTAATGGTAAATATGAGGAATTTGAAATAGGAAACTGCGACAAATGCAGCGCAGTCAAGTTCTAATTAACCATTAAAATAGTTTAGGTGAGGAAGGACAATAAGGATTCTAGGCGCAGTCTGACTGCAGTAGAGCCGCAGTTCAGCGCAGCTGAGCGCAGTAGAACTATAGCATGAAATTTTCATTTTTTATTCAGTTTGAGGAAAATACACTGTAAATAAATCCTGTAAATACGAGGTAGAGTGTGAAAAAGGAAGGCGACCCAAGGAGTATAAAAGGAAGACCCTTTCTGCGACCTTTCGCCCCCCTCAGAGAAGTAAGAAAATAGAGTATTATTTTTCTCAAGCATTTCTGGTTGTCACTCCAGCGCGAAAAAGTGATATACAGTTAAGATTGCCACTGTAGTAAAAGGCAGCAATTAGGGAGAGAAATATTAAGTAAATATTTCAACAGGAGAGCTGGTTAACACTCCAGAATTCAAAGTGTAAACACAAAACAGTTATTTTGCTACTGTTAAAACAAGGAATAAAATAAGACAAAAATAAAACAAACTCAAGGGACACTTCAGACACAATCTAAACCCATTAACTGGGTAGAAGATTTAATTCAAGTTAAAATCCATTTTAAACAACTCTACACAGAATTACACCCAGACAAATTGAGAAATTACAATAGAGGAACAGCTCCACAGGGCTCGGTTTATCTGTAAGTCAATTCTCAGAAACTTTTAGACTAACCCATAAAATAGAATTAGCCAAAACACTCGGATTGGTACTATAATTACAACAAATATTACTAGTACACTTCCCCATCCTAACTAAGGAACCAGGGAACAGCTTGGTAGTGGTCTCGTTTGAGCCTCCCAACGGACCTTCCTTTGTTCTCTCCTTCAGCGTTCTCTTGGTAGTTACTTCCTTCCAGCATCTCAGCCCCCCCCATCTTCTGACATTGAACATTATTGTGACAATATCTTGAACATTCAGAATGAACCTGTCATCTACGTCTCCCTCAATTATTGTCTAAATGCCTTTGGCTTCCTCAGCGCACCTGAACTGGCAAGCAACTCTGTGACCAGAACGCTCAATGCTGGTTTACACGATATGATCGGTGCATTGAAATGGATGCAGGAGAACATTGGTGCTTTCGGAGGAAACAAGAACCGAGTGATAGGTAATGAATTCCGATCGATTTGCAGTTACAATAATCTGAATTTAGTCTGTAAAGTGTTTGATGAGTCGGTGGGTGCGATTGCGATTGGGACTCTCCTCGTTGCTGGAGGTGGACATTATGTGAAATTCCTTTCTCCCTGATTTCCAAGTCCCTTGTCTGATTATCATTCCATTTCCATCGCTAGTCTCCCCGTTCCCACTGTATCCGATCTCGTACCCTGGACAAATATCTTCACTACTGCAGCAGGCTGTCTTCCATCCAATCCCTTCATCCTATCATGCCTTCGTTCGAAACCGTCCGAGGTGCTTTACCAAGCTTCGCTCGTAATGTTAAGCACGACGATGGGCCTCACACTCGTTTATAATCGAGTTGTGGATGGATTCTTTTTCCAGGAAGGGAAATGTGTGGCAGAAGAAGTAAGAAAGGGGAATGTTGTCAGAGACCGGATTCGAGACGAGGGAGTGTCTCCGTAGCGGAGGGCTTTGGCCCCAGCGACTTCTGCCAAGAGCGCTGTGCCTAGTGACACGTCCGTGCCCTAACTTACTGACTGGCAATCAGAACCTAAGGGGGGGTAACTCTAGTTGATTTTATTACTGGAGTGTAACCTATGTACAAGCGGGATATATATATATAGTTACAGCGAAGACGGGTCCGCAATTGGCGGAGCCAAACGGAGCGGAGCTAACAGGGTTAAAGCATTAGCCGACTGTTATGGAAATGGGAATTTCCCATTTTAGACTCTTATGGGTTCTGTATCACATGATTTGTATAGTAATTGAGTTAATCCAATCAATAAACAACAAAAACCCGCTGCCACACTACCTGTTCAACAACATGTTAAACCATCTGTGAAACCACCTGTAAACCCCTATGTCCAACCTGTTAAACTGAGAAGCGCGATACGTCTATTGTGATGTATGTACGTAGTGATGGATGGACTTACCTGAGAAGCGCGATACGTCTATTGTGATGTATCGGCTCTCAGTGCAAGTCCTGTCCTTATATACATTTAATGTCAGTTCTACGCCACTGAAGTGAAACGCGAGCGGTAGCCAAAGCGTGAAAACAAAGGGCCAAAGCGACATTATGTTCTCCGTCGATTGCCCTAAAAAAGCGCCTCCTTCCCAAAGCTCTCAAAGCGCGAATGTACGGTCCTAGGACCGCCAGTGGCGTCGGGCTGTAACTTCCAACACAACCCCCTTCCCTATTCCTGCGCCAGAACGGACGAAAATGGGCGCTTCCGGCCCCATTTTTGTAACATTGGTGCCCCAACCCCGGTTGCACTCAGGAATCCAGAGATGCAACACCCTGCGCAGGAAATACCGCATCGATACCCCGCATCGAGGCCCCCAGACAATCGCCAGAGGGCGATTTCTGTTCTGCAGCAAGTCCTGGAGGAGTTCTCTAGTGGAACGCTTCCAGGCGCGCGCGCACCGCTGGATCTGTTGTTGGAATGGAGACTGCTGACTCTGGAGACGATTGGTATGGAAAGCAAGCGCGATTGGGCCACAGGAGCAGCCCTCTATCGCCTAATACGCCTGCGCCGTCACCAACTGCGCTTTCTTGTCCAAGAAGCGCGAAAATTCACCCAGGCAGCGGCAGCACTGGGACTTATGCCGCGCGATTTTGAGGTGGACCCCGGGGCGATTGTAGCTTAATACTGGGTGGATCTCAGCTGAGTAGCTTGCATATAGCCTGGAATTTTCTGGTTAGGCGACTGGCTGATTTTTATTCACATTTCAAACGCGTCAAAGAGGCCATTGCCTCATATTCGCTGGAAATGCAGCCATCCAGTGCTATTCCGACGCGCTCCCAGCCACTCCCAGCCACTTCCCTCCCCAAAACCCTCATTCCAACACCATCCAACACCCCAATTTCGCGTCAGGCTCATGCAATCGCGCGCCCGCTTGCGCAGACGCGTCTGGTTCATGAACCAACCGGATTTGGGTCAAAATCGACGTGCAAACACGCGATTTCTTTGCCTTTGGATGCCCCAGTGCCCCCTCCAGTCCCCCAGTGCCTGTCACAAGCGGCAGACACGTCAAATTCGACGCGAACACCGAATCCAACTATTACCATTGAAAACCCATTTGTTAAACTATCTGTTAAACTCCATGTTACAACATCTATAACAACATCTGTAACTTCTTATGAACCCTCTTCCCCAACCTTTCCCCTTTCCTGTGCCTCGAACGGACGAAAATGGGCGCCTCCGGCCCCATTTTTGTAACACCGACGAGTCGGGTCGCGGGGTTAGCGGGAAGGCAGGCGATAACCCAGAAACGGAAAGGAGGGATAGGCCCGAAGGTGGGCTCTGCAGGGCAGGTGATTGTATTGCCCAGCGGAGGCGCTAGCAGACGTCGGAGCTGTCCGGAAGTCTTCGGGGCTCCATACTTAGGGAGGTGTAGGTAATAAATTGAAATGAGGGGGTGGTGACCATTGAGGGGTACCGAGAGGATTGCGGAACATGGGAACTCTGAGGTTAGTGAAGAAGGAGTGGAGTTAGACCGGAGGGAACGGAGGGACCGGAGGTCGATGGCCGGGGATGGATATGACAGTATCCCCTTCTTAGGCCTGAACCCTTGAAGGCCCAGAATTAGTAAGGTGAGGGGAGCTGTACTTACAGAGAAAATGAAAATGGGAAAATGAAAACGGAAGTGAGGAGTGGAGGGAGAAGGAGAAATGGGAGAGGAGTCGGGGTTCCTAAGGAGCTTTGGGTCCAGGCTTCGCTGGGTACCGAGAGTGGAACGCTTCGACGAGGTCAGAGGCATGATCGAGTTCGCCGGCAAGGAGCCATTGTGTCTCCTCGTCGGTCCCTTCATAGCCTAGCCACTTGACCAAGTAGAGCAACTTGTTGCATCTACGTCGGTCGATCTTGGAGTCGAGTATCTCCTCGATCTCGAACTCCATCTCGCCTTCGATTTCTATGGGAGGCGGAGGTGGCTGGTGGCAGTTCGGAATGGTGTTCGGGATGGAGGGTTCGATCTGCGATACATGGAATACTGGGTGAATGGCTTGCATGTTTTCCGGAAGGCGAAGAGTGAGGGAGTGAGTTCCAACGCGGGCGATGATCTCAAATGGGCCGAGGTTTTTCTCGGAGAGCTTTTTGGAAGGTTGGGTGGAGTGGAAGTACTTGGCCTTTACGTGACCGAAGTTCCTACTTCGAAAGCTGGGGCAGGGCTCCGTCAGGAGTCTGCCGGGCCCTGATAACGGATCTGAGCGAGATGCATTTCCTTGCGAAGGAAGTGGTGGAGGGAGTCGAGATCGACGGAGTACTCTTGGGCGCGTACTGATGTCAGATCTTGCTCCGGGTGGACAGTGATGTTCGGATGGTAGCCTTTGTTGGCGAAGAATGGGGAGATGCCCATGGTGGCATTTGGAGCGTTGTTGTATGCAAACTCTGTGAGAGGCAGGAGTTCGGACCAATTGCCCTGCTGGTAGTTACTGTAGATGCACAGGTACTGCTTGAGCGTCTGGTTCATCCGTTCGGTCTGACCATCTCCTTCTGGGTGATAGCCGGAGGTGAAGTGGAGGCAGATGTCGAGGGCCTTACCAAGTGAACGGAAAAAGTGAGAGACAAACTCCGGACCCCTGTCGGAGGTGACGTGGGATGGAACTCCGTGCTTGGAGAACACATGGAGGAGGAAGAGCTTGGCCAGTTCCGGAGAGGTGATGGTATCGTGGGTAGGGATGAAAATGCACTGTTTGGACAGGTGGTCCACGACAACCAAGATGGAGGTGAATCCGGAAGAGGAGGGTAGCTGTTCGATGAAGTCCATGGAGATGGAGTTCCAAGGACGTTCGGGGATGGGGAGTTGTTTGAGTAAGCCGTAAGGCTTATGAGGGGGGACCTTGGCATGGGCACAAGAAGTGCAGGAGGATACGTAACTCTTGACGAAGTTACGGATGCCCGGCCAGGTATACTTACGACGTACTAGATCCAGAGTCCGGTTTTGCCCGAAGTGTCCAGAAAGTTGGTGGTCGTGTTTGTCTTGCAAAATGCGGAGACGGAGATCGTTAGAATCCGGCATGTAAATGCGATTGTCCAGCCTTAAGAGGCCTTTGGCATCAACGGACCAGCGGGAGTTGGGGAGGTTGGGGGAAGCAAGATGAGAAGAGATTGAGGTGTTGGAGGAGAGGGAGGTTAGGATGTCTCGATGAAGAGCCTCTGTGTCGATGAGTACGGCTGCTTGGATTACTGTGGCAGCTAGGAACGTAGCTTGTAAGGACGCAGTGAGCTGCTCCAAAGTGAAGACCGGTCGGAAGTTCTGCAGATTGACATGAGCGTAGTCCATATCCCCTTCTTTGGGATAGACGTCCCAACGTCTTGTCAACGCATCTGGTTTAACTCCGAGTCTTCCGGGACGGAATCGGACTGTCATGTGGAATTGGGAGAGGAACTCTGACCAGCAGGCTTGCCGCCAGGTCAAGAGTTTGGTGGTGGAGAAATACTCAAGGTTCTTGTGGTCGGTGACGACGTCGATTGGGGTTCCTGAACCTTCGAGGTAATGACGCCATGATCGGAACGCATCATGAATGGCGAGCAGTTCCTTGTCATGGGTGTCGTAATTGAGCTCCGGCGCCGAGAGTGTTCTAGAGCGGAAAGCGACAGGGCGAATCTCTCCGTCATCACAGCGAATGGAAAGGATTCCGGAGATCGCATAATCGGAGGCGTCGGTTTCTACAATGAGGGGGGCATTGGGTAGCCAATGTGTGAGGATAGGAGCGGAAGTGAAGGCTTCTTTCAAGGTGTTGAAAGCAGAGCGACAATCGTTGGAGAATAGCCAGGGGGCTCCTTTACGTGTGAGGTGTGTCAAGGGGACCACAATGTCGGAGTATTGGTGAATGAAACGCCGATAGAAGTTAGTGAAGCCAAGGAAGGATTGGACATCCTTGACTTTACGGGGCTCAGGCCAATCTTGGACGGCTTTGACCTTCTCGATGGACATGGTGAGTCCAGAAGGAGAGAGGCAGTAACCGAGATATTCCATAGTGTCCG